TAACAATTCTAATATTTAAGAAAAACAGTTTAGAGGTTGTCAGATTTAAATATTTTGACATCGGCTAATAGATGGCATTGGCGAAATAAATGTTTCTTAATTAATAATATAGGTTTTAAAATGAATTATTTGAATTTGTATGTAATAATAAACAAAATGAAATAAATTAATTATTATTGTTACACGTAGAGTCTAGCATTAGCGTCGGAAAATAATTTTTAGATGTACTTCATGTTCAAATTAAGAAGTTGGTAACATATCAACGGAAAAAGGAAGGAAAGTGGTATTAAAGGAAAGAAAGAGAAAAAAAAAAAAAAGAAAACTATTGATTTGGTTAGTTGTTTTTTGAAGTAATGTGCTGAAAAATGAGAAAATGGAAATGGAGACAGAGTAAATCTAAATAGAATAGAATAGATTAAGAAAAAGTACCAATGCATTATCACTAAACTCAAAGTCTTTTCCGAATCCACACCCACGTTCTCAGTTCTTTTTTAAAAATCTACGTTTTCCCTTAAATTATCCCCCTTTTACTTTAAAATCTCCCTATGAAATTCCATTGACTTTAATTATTAGTTATACTTATCTTATCTATTCCCTATTTTTACTCTGTCTCCATTTTCATTTTTCAGCACATTACTTCAAAAAACAACCAAATCAATAGTTTTTTTTTTTTTTTCTTTTTTTTTTTTTCTTTCTTTCTTTCCTTTAATACCACTTTCCTTCCTTTTTCCGTTGATATGTTACCAACTTCTTAATTTGAACATTAAGTACATCTAAAAATTATTTTCCGACGCTAATGCTAGACTCTACGTGTAACAATAATAATTAATTTATTTCATTTTGTTTATTACATACAAATTCAAATAATTCATTTTAAAACCTATATTATTAATTAAGAAACATTTATTTCGCCAACGCCATCTATTAGCCGATGTCAAAATATTTAAATCTGACAACCTCTAAACTGTTTTTCTTAAATATTAGAATTGTTAATTCGTCTATTTATATCTAGAGGGCGTTAATTAGTATCTTTAATCTAAAATAAAAAATTATACCTTCAGAATTATAAACACTTCATGTTGTCTAAGAGCCCATTTTAGTTCTTGTAGGGTTTAAAAAAGTTTTAAATTTGTTTTGTCTTAATGTCTGTCCGTTCGTGAAATATTTTAATAATTTTAATTAATAGTTTTAGACCTACTTGTGTTTTGACATCAACTTTTTGTTGCAACTACTGTTTTTATGCATTTCTTAAAAAATACTCGCATACTTGTTTTTTACACCGACCCTGTGATAATCTCTAAGCTTAGTCTTAAATAGATGAGTAATACGGGTGAGTTCTTGATATTTGACAACTTTCATAATTTTTTAAACCCACTTTATTCATTCGTTTTTACCTATCTATTTTAGACCATACCTGATGATGAGGATCTGATCTCCTCGAAACTGGTCGTATTAAATTACTCTTGTGAGATCTTAAGCCCCTTAGGACAAGCCGCCACTGAGTCTCTGGATTACTAATTGTCATTTTTATTATTTAATTCGTCCTATCAATACACATGAGTGAGTATAGTAATTTATTCGTAGTATCTAAGATGTACTAGTTATTCTGTCCTGATTGCTGTATTTTTGGCCTAAACTGAGTAGCTTTTTAAATTATGTAAATTCACTTATAAAAGATCATTGTATCGTTACGAGTTCGCTTATATGTTTACCCTTTTATCTCGAGAGAATTAATAATTAACGAGCCAATTTCAACGAGTCTGTTTGCTTCTTACTTCGATTAATTAATAGTTTTTATCATGGTTACTTCTATGTATTGTCTTTGTTTTGTTTTCGTAACAGGTTTTATTTGACGCGAAATCAGTTGACAGAACACGGTAATATAGTGCCTGTACGTTAGATGTCATTCAGGTCTTGTTCCTAATGTCAGATAATGGAAACTTCACAATAGGCGATTTAACGTTTCACGCTCTGTGCCTGAGATGCGATGTACGAGAGGCTCGTTCATTATTAATTGCAGTCAGCAGAGTGTTCGGTGCGTGTGAGAAGATCTTTGGCGATCAGTTTTTGGATTGAGTTTCGTCAGAAGATCGATTTTTAGAATTATTTTATTGTACATAGATATCGTTTGTTAGGTTAATCTGTCGTAAATGGTCTCTAAGACATATATTGGTAAATGATTGGTTCTTTAAGGATTATTTTCTTAACACACTCGGCCTGGTCATGTCAAGGCTGTAGGCAAGACAACGTGGCCAGTTTTCTTGGTTGGGTTGCTTTTCGACAATTAAAAATAAAGCAAGATATGTTTGATTGTCGAGTGACAATCTTAATTTTGTGACCATCGAGTTTTCCCACGAAGGGTGTTGCGGCAATAATACAATTATTAATTAGTATAATCCTTTTTCGCGATTAAATGCTCAAGCCGGCTCTGTATCCTGTACAGGTACACAGTGCCCAGCAAGCAGTCGCTTGTAATCATTAGTGCTAGATATACCGCTAGAGAATCGCGAGTGTATGGGCACCCTGAACGTCCGATAACAGATCCTTCTGCAGATAAATACAGGTGAGTCTGTTTGAGCCATCGAATATTCTTTTCAACTCTCTAACCACCGCAAAGGGGTTTTCTAGATTATGCTCAGATATTTTGTGGATTAGGAGTTTAGAGATGTTTGGTTACATTTAAGGAATTTGGATATAAATTTCCATTGTGTAGTAATAACCCATTTCTCACCTAGGGGTTTTTATCAACATCAAATTGTAAGAAGTATCATTACTCTTAATAGATTTTGAGTTATTAGTTCGTTATTTTATATAAGGAAGTTCATCTGCACTAGAGTTTTGTAGTATTGAAGTAGATTCTTCAAGTGTAGATGCTGCTGGACTGACACTTCTTTTTTTCCAACCTTGGAAAGTTACCAGTTGTCTATTTTTGTTAATATTTGATTACCTGTTGATTGTCGAGTTTTTATATTGTTGCTTGATGCACAATAATTGTAATTATGTAAATGCATAATACTGTTTATGATTCTTGGCGAGTCAATATATTTTTTTATTCTTACTAAGTACTTAATAGTTTCTACTTTATATATGGGGTAATTAATTGTATAGTTTGGGGAAAGTCAATTCTGGATTGAAACATTTTGCTTATATTTTAAGGGTTCACCTCCAGGATTTCGCCCGGAGGGTTCATCTGCGGATTCAACTGAGGGTTTACTCGTAGATTCAGCCGTGGGGTCACAGTACACTGGTTTACCAAAACACTGGTCCATATATTCGTTGTCCATTGGTTTTAACCGCCTGGCTTACTATTTCACTAATTTACATAGATGTTACTTTATCTGGATGGGAAGATGAATAGTGATGCTATTATTGGTAGCACCCTATTTTTTTTATGCCTGCTAATGTGTTGAATTAAACATTCTACTTTTTTAAACGAATGTTCCTAATGTATTATCAACTTTTTTTATACTTTTTCACATAGAATGTGTTAGTATTCCAAAATTTAGTTAATTAAGCACTTCGTGTCTCGGTCTGAGTATTGACCTTAAATAGTTCGTTACCTAAGGGCTATGGTCAACATTTAATTTTTTCGATCTCTTCTTTATCATCATTAAAAAAGGTAAGACTTAACAAGCAAGTTAAGCAATCTTATAGGATCCTAGGGGGCAGATATTAAACTAACCTCTTCTAATCTGAAAACTTTAGTAAATACCACTGTGTTTGAAGTCTTTGTGTTTATATTTTTTTGCTTTATGATTTCTATTTTACTGTCAAATAATTCATGGTTTTTATATTTTTCTTTATAAATAAATAGGTCCTAACTAATAAGTTAAGCAAGTAACTTCTTCCAATTTGGAAGCATTAATTAAGTTTCAACATTAAACGATGTTGTTTTATAATTTTTTTATAGTATTGCGGAGTTGTAAAAAGGTATAAATTAATATTTTACAGGTTAAATTAAAAATATTCTACGTGACATCTCGACATATTGTCCTTCGCTTGGTACCGTGCCATTTATGCATTTTTTTAATAAGATAGTACTTTAATATTAATTTTGAATTTATTTAACGACAGACATATTGGGTATATTTATAAAATTAGTATCTTTCATAATAATTTGTAAATTGTTAATCATTGGGTAAATTAATTTTAAAGGACATAAGTTTGTGTTGTCTTTTATTTCTTTCCTCATTCACTGGGTGTGTGGGGGAAGTAAGGTCATAGTTTGGCCATTATACGAACTCAGTTGGCGCCTTTCAATATGTTTACTATTTCCGGAATTTTTATAAACTGTCCCTCCCCACCGCAACAACCGAAACTTATGTAACCGCAGTAGACAAAATTTTGTTTGGTAAAGTTTTTTTTAAAGTTCAATTTTAGACAGTTTCCTTAACTGGAAGTTGCACAGTGCATTCGGTAGGTTACATAAATAATCGCAATGCTTATATGCACTAAAATTTGGATAATAGGGGACTTAGATAACTTCAGTTTTATGTAACATTGGGTTTTAAGCAGAAAATAAAACTAACAAAATAAATTTAAATGTAGCATGAAGTTTGACGAAAATGCTAACGGAAAAAAGGTTTACGTCTTTTATAAAATGTTCACACCTTTTTATTGTACATGCTAATATTTTTAATGTAACTTAACCTTCTACACTTTTTACAATATATTATACTAATTACTTTAAAATAACAGGTGTAGCAACTTAGTTGTTCTATTTCAACAGAATCTGTTAATATATTTTCCATTTATAACTAATTGTAAAATTAGTACCTAAAAATTTAAAATAGCCCTTATTGATGCCCCCTCTTTTTACACTTCCTATATGGAGTGAAGTTTTGGGTGAAAAACTTCACCGATTTTTTTTTTTTCTATATTTCTGTCATTCTTAAAATATTTTATTTGTATTCCGAATGTGGTGTCTTGGGGGTCTCACTCCGGCGTCCCTCAAATGTATTTAAATAATTTGTCTTATTCATTTGGGATATTTTTTTCAGAAATGGGATGAAATTGAAATTCAAGAACAAACTGATGAGAAAGTGTTCAAATCTCAGATACAAGTGCCATTAAAACCAAGCCTAATATTGAACGAAATACTAGATAAGCTTAATATCTCGATTGGCCTCAAAATACCCCATACCATTCCAAAACAGATTCACTTACAATTCATTGAGAAAAATACAATGGTCATATTTGATCAGTATACAAAGCTGTCAGATAAACAGCTCAGCCAAAAACAAGCTTTGCAGTTTTTATTCGACGTTAAGTATTTAACCACGTTTTGCATTCCAAGAGAAAATGTTCAACTCGTTACTTATTCCCAAGAAATCTGTGATAAATTTAGGAGTAAGATAGATCCATTCGATTTAGATGTATTTTATTCGTATTTGCAAAATAACGTTAAAAAGGCAGTTATTCAATCCCAAGTAAGTATTTTTTTGGAACCTGCAAATTACATTTTAAGATAGTCATGGTTATAGTCATATTTTGACATTTAAAAATTTGTTATTCTTAATAAAAATATGCAATGTATTTAAACTACATAGGGTCGGTGGCGTAGCGGTCACACGCGCTTATATTCATCATATAAGCAAGTTTGTGGTCAGAATCCTACACCAGAACATGTGGATTTTTAATTAAATTGCATGGTTAGTTATAGGATTTGATGTGTGCTGTATTAATAGAAATTCAATTTCTGTTGATATGTAATGCAGATTATACAATCGCCATGCCTTACCGTCTCGATGATGATGATGGGTGAAGTTTTCCGGGTTTTCCTCACCTGTAAGTTAAATGGCACCATCGATCATCTTTAAGTCGCCCCGGAGTGTCACGGCAAATAATAATAGCTGTCCTTTCCCCTATACAAGTTGCTTAGTCGACTTCAGGGGTTGAAATTAACTTATAACGGGGTGAATTAGGAAGAGTATTATTATATGTAGTATAAAAGAATTTTGTTCAATTTATATTTTGTCATTTAGATTTAAAAATTAGTTTATTAAAAAAAATCACAAAAATTGTATTCTTAACACATAATACGCCATAAGGTCAGTGGATACGATAGTGAGCTGCACAGCAAGCCATGTTAGTCGCCAGATACTACGAATGATGGTTTTTCCGTAAATAAAAATCCAAAAATAGTTTCTATAATCCAATTTTACTTTGATGGAAAAACTTTTATTGTAGTAATAGCTGAATAATTTGGAGAGGCTAGCCGCGAGTCTATTGGGCATTCTCGTTTTCGCGGCAGTCAAGCCGTGATGTCTCCGGTCACGTCTTGGATGCGTGACCGGTGGACCAACTAGCGGTTAACCATCGATGACGTAAAATGAATGTATGATGAATGGGAAGGAGTAGGGCATCCAAATGAAGGCACAGTAGGCCATCTGGGCTTCAGTGCCCCCATGCGAACCCCAAGAGGAGGGAAAGCAGGCTGGACCCCAAGCATGTTTTAAGGGGAGCCAGTGGCTGGGCCCAAGTTATTAGATTCCTTTAGTACATATTTGGGATGTCTTTTATTAAAGAAAATAAAAAAAATGTATTCTTAGTAGTGTCAGTTATTATTTTTTGTTGGTTTGATGATCCGTTAGTCTTTAGATTCATCAAACCAAAAAATAACCGACACTACTAAGAATAAAAAAAAATATTTTCTTTAATAAAAGACCCCCAAGACGGTACAAAAGGAATCTAATAACTTAAACTTAAAAAAAAAGGATTAAAAAAAATGTAAAAATGCACTAACCAAAAAACAATGTTAAAAGAAATTTTAATAATTACTACTGAAAATAGCACTGATCAGTGCTGAAAGCTCTAAACCAAACACACATGATTTTCATTTAAAGTAAGTATAAACATCCAGATACAATCTTCAGACACCTAAAAACCCAAGAACCAACCAAAAAAATATAAATTAAGGCATAAGAATTAAAAAAAAAGCAGATACCCCGACTTCCTTTATAAACTACTAATCTTAAATAGGTATATAGACCGTCAGATAGTGACCGATTTAGATGCCCCATTTTCGCATACAAGCCTAGAAGAGAGTTGAAAAGTACATCGATGTTGAGTAGAATGAAAGGAAATTTACGAGTGGCTCTTGGGGATAACACATGAAAAATTGGCTTTTCTTTAACAGAAAATTTTCAGACCCCTAAATGAAATTATCCATTCGGGTCATTCAAGTCATTACGTTTTTCGGACTAGTGACGATATACGTTTTCATGCATTCGATGGGCTTGTGTGGAAAAGTCGGTTAAATTCTCGATTTTTCTGTACAAGATTACGACCTTATTTTAACCCTTTAGCCACTTGCAACAGTAAAGCCTTTGGTTTTCCGAAGCCTAGTTCTATTAGTTAATCATTATATAGTGAACACGTCTTGCTAGAAAATATGAGCAACAAGTACCTTTAATTTTTTTAAAGGAAAATCGTGTACTTTTCAACCCTCTTCAAGGCTTATCTACAAAAATGGGGTACCTAAATCTGCTATCTGACGGTCTAATATAAATGTCATTATAATGAATATCTAATAAAGTTGGGCGAGATTTCATGACCTAATATTTTGGTAATATGGCATTCTTTACATCTATTTCTTTATTACGAATATTTAGTATGATTTGAGGAAAAGCCTCATTTATTTGAATTTATAACCACAGTAACGGTTCAAAGTATGATTGAAAAATCAAACTAGAGTCCAACTCTACTTTTTCTCTGAATTGCCGTTGATGTTTATTTCTTAAAGCCTTACATGTAGGTAACTTTTAAAATGCTTTGTAAATATGAATGTAATATAACATTTTTGTTTTAGGTTATTTTAGGATGCTTATTGCCATCTCCAAATCAATTAGCTAGTTTAGGAATATCTGAAAAATTCAAGGAACAGGACCAGAATCCTAATATTTTAGCTTTGAGTTCTCCTTCAATTGCAACATGGTTTCCTTTATTACCTGTATCAGCTCCATCACAAAGAGTACCAGGATCATCAAATAAACCTAAGGTGATATTTAAATAAAATAATAATATAATGTGTTGGTATTTGAGAAAAATAGTATTAAAAATCATTTATGAGCTATCGTCCGAACGGGCTAAATTTTCCCGTTGATTTTTTAAAGCCATTTTAGACCCTCTGAAATAAATTACAAAATACTTTTATGCCCTGGAAACGCTTAAAAATTATTGGTTTTTACCATAAAACTTCAAAATGTGTCGTCTATTTTCGCTCTTAAAAAAATGTGAATTTTTAATTATTATTAAAATTAGTACATCCTATTAGCTGCTTTTAAAGTCACAGTGAAATTAAATACATCTATAATGGATATCACAGATTTTATTAACACAATATATCACACTGAAAAGATTAATACAGGCTCAGCCTATCCAAAGTTTTTAAATTTGTTTTTGGTGTCTGAGGTTAAGACAGCCTCTGGGAGCTTGTTCCACACATCTGGAAATGTCTTTGGCAAAGTTTCTGGCTTCTTTCAGTTTGCAGTTTTAGGTTATGTCCACGTAAATAATTGTTCTCGTTTTTTATAAAAACACTGTCAAGCTCTACTGAGTAGTACCTATTCACGATTTTGTGGGTTTCTATGAAGTCTCCTCTAAGATGTTGCTCTTTAAGGGTAGTTATGTTCAGAGCATGGAATCGATCCTCATATGATTGGCTACGGTGAGTGTAAGGCAGTTTAGTAGCACGTCGCTGAACTGGTCTGATGTAGGATTTTCTTCATCAGAAACCTCTCCTTTGCAGTGGCGGCTCGTGGGGTGGTTCACAGTGACAGAATATAGGTATCAGTACAGATGTATGAAAAAACTTTGTGTTTTAGAAAGTTTATAATATACCTTTCTAAAACACTGACAGTTTTTTACCTATATCTGTACCGGGATCTATATTCTGCTACTGTGACCCCCAAAATTTTGGTCACGAGCCGCCCCTGCTCCTTTGTGATATGACTAAATAACTGCCTAAATTGTTATGTGTAGTGTTTTTAAATCTTTCTAGAAGCTTTCTTTAAAATTTCCATATTAATATCTGCCGTTCGGACCATGGCGTTTATTACCGAGCTGTTTCTACTAAACGTAGAGGAGTTTTGGATGTACTAGTCTCATGCAGGCAAAATTTTAAATAATAAAGGTATGACTATGTGAATTTGATAGATCCATTTTCGAGAAATTTACAAATAATGATTCATATGCAAACATTTGTTTGCTCGCTCTTATGGTTACAAAGAATTCTTTGAATTGGATATAAACGACTAATTGAAAATTAAAGAAAAAAGTTACAAGGTGGTGAAATTACTAAGCACCGTTTAAATGATAAGACTCTAACTTGTTAACTATCAACATTATTTTGCCAATTCGTCATATTTTGACATGAGGATTTTACTACTGGGTTTTGTATAACTCATTATTAGTTACTCTGTATACACTAAACCTACTTAAGCTTTTTCAAGAAATTTTGTCTATTACCTCTATAATTTATATCGTCTTGTAATTAACTAAACTGGTAACTGTTTCAGAATTTTGCAGAAATGTACACATTGTAAGGTAAAAATGTGTGAAATTTGATTTACTATCATTATTATTTTTAATTGTGCTATTAACATACTGTCTTATATGGCTTTATATATTTGGATATTTTATGTACACCTACTTTATTCAAATATAACAACCTATCAGTTTTGTGTATTTACTACATAATTTTTGCTTAACCATTAATTTATTATAACATTTCTCTTTAACTTTAAAAAACTTCGATTTATCTTATAATAGGACAACCTAAGAGTGTTACTAATTGTATAAATTATTAAAGTAGCTCTAATAATAAATATTCCGAAGTTTTTTGAAGTATAAGTTTGGTTTATATTGCTGACGGTGTTCTAAGGATAATGTACACATGCTAAAATGCACTGCTCTGTAATAACACTGAATAGGATATAAGCTATATTGAATGTGTGAAAGGTTGTACCAATGAGATTAAAAGTACATACATTGAAAATTGTAAATTTTGCAAATTATGGCTGGAATAGTTTAATCGAAAATTTAAAATTTTAAAGGCTTATACTATGTAATAAATGTTTTCTACATTCCTACATTTTTTCCCCGTTTCACAGTGTCGGATTGGGCCGTCAGTCTACCGGTCAAAAGACCGGTATGCCCTTATTGAAGCAGTGAGCCCTCGTTCAAGTAATGGGCCCTCCTTCAAGCAATGGGCCCTCCTTCAAGCAATGGGCCCTCGTTCAGCAAGTGGGCTCTAGTAAATTAAATGCAAGAAACCCCGTAATACGTGAGAGGACCTTTTTTGCTCTTCTTCGATGAGAGAGGACCTTTTTTGCTCTTCTTCAATGAAAGATGGCCTTTTTTGCTTTTTAATTAAAATCGGACCATGAAAACGGCCCTTCTCCCTCCTGACCGGTAGGCCCTGGAAGTCCTAATCCGACACGGCCGTTTCATGTTTATATATAAAAAAATCCTTAAAAAAAAATTAAAAAATAATTTGATTAGAGTTCCATACTTACCAGAAACCTAATTTTTAATCTAGAACATTGATTGTTTGCTTGAATTTAAAAGTGTAAAATATTTATGGAAATAAAATATGAAAAACCTATCAATTTGTACACCAACTATAACTGATAATTGCTTTAAATTTGAATTAACCACAGACAAAATAAAAACGGCTGTTACGTGGTTTATATCGTTCAAAAAGTTCATGACTTGACAGCGAGAGGGAGCAATGGTCGGGCTCGAATGAAAACAGCTGTTATGTGTCTTATATCGTTCAAAAAGTTCATAAACTGACAGTGGTCGCTTTTAGTATGATTATGAGTAAGTCCAGGCTCCATTTTCTACCCAAATTCGTCGTTTGTATGACCATGACAAAAGCATCCTATCGTCGTTGATAAAAGTATCGTAGATGGTAGATAAAGAGCGAATGTCTTTGTATCCTTTTTTGGTATGAGCTGTATTGTGTTCTCTCGAACGATCGTACGGAAACACTACATTTTGAGGTAAATAGTATAAGTACGAAGGTTTTGATTTCATATACTCTTCTGTTCATTTTGCATTTTTATTTGGTTATGTTTGTAAAGTAATCCAAATATTGTTATTCTTTAATACTTCGGAGACTAATTTTTTTCATATTTTTATTTTACCGTTTTAAAAATATTAATAAAATGGGACGTTTCAAATAACATGAAATATCTATCGAAACGTTTTCAATATTTTTTTTTTTAATAGCTTGGTACCTAAACTAAAAATGTTAATAACCTCAAAGTTGATCGGAAGTTGTACTCAACTAAAATCAAAACCTAAGAGGTTACAAAATAAAAAAAAACTGTGATTTAGGTTAATTTGATCATAAAGGATATTTGTTTTTTTATTTGACCAGTGCCCTGATTACGCCACAGAAAAATATATGTTAGAGTATGAGCATTTAAATTTAAGAGATTTTGCTTAAACCTTACATGGGCGTTACCCAATTCAAACGTTCATACTGATCATACTTCTAATAATTGTAATATTTTGTACAGATTTTAACATGTGCCAGCCAACATTGTTATGTTCTAAATTCTAACATTGAACCAAAACGCTGTTTAAAAAAAAACATTCCCGTTTCGTTGTTTTGTTCAAAGTTTATTGAAAATAATGAAAATGTAATTTGATATGGCCATTTCAAGACACATACAATGACAACACTAACCAATCAAACAATTTGCAATAGAGAGATAAAACCTCGGAAACAAAAAATATACTGATAATGGGTTTCAGACATATGGATAGGAAGTCCTTTTTTGTCAAACGCATATCAAAACAAAACAAAAAAACTTTTTTTATTTAAGCAATCACAACAAAATCATCGCGTAAAGTTAGTAAACTGTGTTACGAGGGAAAAAAATTTTATGCTCGGCAGTGTATTTTAAAATTGAATTTCTCGGCCAAAAAAATATTTGGTTTTCCCTGTTAATGATAGTTTTAAATGAAAATGCACGTTACTATTGTATTATTTTTGTTTTTAATTTTTTACCCAACTATATATTTTAAAATATAGGTTATTTGTTTTTAGGATTCGCCCAAATCTAAAATAACTCCGAAGAAAATACAAGACCCAACCAGCATCATGAAACAAAGTGCAGCTTCCATCTTCGGAGGCCTGGCTACAGATTGGTTTTCATAACATAACATAACATTTTTCCTCGGTTTATCTCATTTAAATCAATGTTATTGTATATAAAAAGTTACCTAGTTTTGTGTAAAAGTTTTTACTTGTACAGTATATATTTATTCCTAAGGATAAAAGTTTTTTTGGAAGTTATTTTCAATAAACGAGACATATATAAATAAATCTGATTTATTATTATCACAGGCTAGTCATATAAATATTAAAATAGTAATATACTTATCAATTTACAGTGATAATCACAAAAAGCTACTTTAAATTTCAAGTGACAATAATGACAATAATGGAGAAAAACAAAAACTATTCTAGAAGGACGGCAGAAAACATTGAAAAATTATAAATAGTACATACATAATAATAATACATTACATAAAAAATTATAATTATAATTTACCATCTCTATTCAAATTTTTATGAAGCATTTACAGTAATTCTGAAAATAAAGTATTAAAATTATACAAAAACAAAACTACATAAATTTAAATTGAATAAATCTAGCAATTTTCTAAATTGTTGGCTATTTTTCATAAATTTATCAATTTCTTAAAATCATCAATGAAGATATCTATTGTAGGAAAACTGTTAGGTCATAATTATTTTCTCGAATTCTATTACAAATAGAAACTAGAAGATAAGAATTGAAGAAAAATGAATAACATTGGGATTGCAGAGACAAATAATAAAAAGAAGAATGAAATCAGAATATTTAAAGAAAAACAAGCACTTCGTAAATTGTTAAAGCACAAAGAAAACGTGTGCCATAAAAGTGTTAAACAAAAATGCTTAGATGTAAAAAGAAATTGAGAATTGAACAAGACTAATAGGAAATTGAAAAAATAGATCATTTATATAAATAATACTGAATAAAAATAAGAGCTACTTAGTCCAGGCAGATAGTATTTTCTTCCGTAAGACAATGACGGCAGTGTTTTTTGATTTTAACAAGTTTGCTTCATCAGAAATAATAAACATGTATTGTTGAGACTAATTTGTAACTAATGATTCTATACACTAACTAAATGAACATAACTACAGTGTTAAAAGTAATTTTGTTTTTAATTTTTTTGAGATCAATATTTAAAGAACGCATATAATAATTATTCGGCGAGGCATTTAAGTACATCTACATCATTATCAAGATTTTTTTTTAATAAAAGGAAAGTGTTTGACATCCTTGGTAAAGTGAATAACAATGCTGTATTAAGATAAACTAATAAATTAGTGACGTTTTTAAAAACGGTTATTACCTTTAAAATTCTGTCATTTACTTTATAACAGTGTTTCTCAAACTATGGACCGCAAGTCAGTTCTTAGTCGTCCGCGCACATATAAAATTGTATTTAATTATAATAATTATTAAACGGATGTTTGGGAGGTATGCTTAAGAATTCCTCCCTTTTTATATTGACCTGTCAAAATGCTGCTCGTGGGTAATGACAGGTTATGATATGGCAACCCTGTGGGCCTGTTGTCTTTGACAGGATCACTGATACATATACAGCTATATAGATTGCTCAAAGCGGGTTGTTTTGCGAGCGGCCATGTTGCCTCACAAGTGCTTATTAGAATCGGTTTAGCAAAAATGTGTTTAAAAACAAATGTTCGGCTTTGAACTGGTAAAAAAATAATTACCTACATTTTAACTTCTAATGCATAAGCTTATGTTTATTTTAAAAACATGTATAATCAATCTATATGTAACTATATCATTGACCCTGTCAAATTACCAGGCCCACGTGGTTGCCATATTATAATCTGTCAAAACCCACGGGCAGCCATTTTGTAATTGATTTTGGGTACTGTCAGAATTTGAAGTATATTATTTTTAAGGTCATTGAACATCGAAAACCCAAAATGACACTTTTCGTCCACACTCTGAAAACAACTTTGGTTTTTTCAAATATTTTTCCAGAGGACCAGATAAAACTAACATACGCCACAAACACAAATCCAGGTAACTTACTGCGAACAACGTAAAAATCAAAACATGCTAATAACAGTTTATAGCTAAAGAATAAGTTCGCTCACTCTGCCTCGGTACTTTTGATCTCAATGTTCCAGTTTATACATTGCGCAACTCAGATTTGTATCCCTGGCGCATACAGAATCAAGTCATACGAATAGGAGAAAAGTTGTGTGGTTGCAAAACAGAAGAAATTATAGGTAGTTATTCTGTGTTACGAATATTGTCCTTTTTCCGACATTTCGAAGGTTTAATACAATATATATGACGACCGCCTATATTCAAACATCCCTGGAGTGGATGTTATTTTGGAACATCCAATTGGTCCGAGTGAGCTAACTGATAATGTCATTTGACAAGGAGTTGCTAAAACACCAAAAAAATATATAAGCAATTTAAATTGTTTACAGGCGATCATCTGCCTGGTACCCCCCGGGACCCTACCCGAAGAAATGATTATAAATTGCAATGCATATATTTTAAAACAGAAATAAAGACTTTTTAATAAAAGAATGGCAAATCAATCATCAAAAAATTAGAAATATTGGTTACTGAAATAAGGTGTATTTTCATGTATTGTCATAGCTTCAATTTCAATACGAGGTATTTTTACAAAATTGCAGAAACCAGATGGAGATTTCATCGACCGTTTGTACGGTAATTTTACCACATAACTCAAACGTACTCTTTCAAAAACAACTGTGTATAATTTTATGCCTTCTACACAAAATACATTGATCTTTTTGCTGCGTAACCGCAACTACTAAATTGAATGGAAACTGAAATCGGCCAAAATGTATCAAGGAAGAGTTGCATCAGAAAGTGAGCGAGAAAGGCAACATTGAACGAGGAGCTTAGAGTGACCTTTCTTTTGTATATGTTTACATTCGGTGCATCGAAGTCAATTGCCGCCGATGTAGTTCAGCTCGTTTATATACGTTATCTCAGCAAGGTAAGATAATGCATTGGACTAATGTAGTTCGATACAGAGTTAGGTCATAATATTTTTAATACTACATTCGTGTTATACTGTTGTCAAAAAGCATCGTAGCGACTTCTTTTTTGAATTGTACTGAGACAATATAGTGATATTTTTGGGGCATTTTGAAATAGAAGCCAAATTTTTTTCTTTCATTTGGGATGTCCCTTTATAATAATTGACTTATTGTTTAATACTATACGTTATGTTCTATGACGTGTCCTACCGCTACCGGCACCGTCGCACCAGAAATGATTTAGAGAGCCAATCGCGTTCAAGATGCCTGTAAATATAGATGGTGCGAGGATGTGCTAATCTTTGGTATGCACACAAGTTGGAAAGGCTTTTGGGTAGGTGGAGAGGGGTAAACGTCAAACCATGTCGGACGACTTCCAGAATCTCGCGGTAATGTTTATCTGCCAGTGTCGTTTCATAGAGTAAATAATTTTAAATTGTTACCGGCGACGGAACCGGACCATCACATGTATTTATGTGGACTAGAAATAATTATTAAACAAGAATTATAATTTCCCAAAACATAATTCTACAAAATTTCAACAGCTATTCACAATTTATTAAATTATTTACCCAAAATTGTTATTAACATCTATAATATAATTTTCTAGGCCAATGTATCGCGTTCGCTTCGATTAGCTCCACGGCAAAACTGCCAATTCCTGTGGTTGAAGTGGGAGAACTAGGAAAAGCCTTTCCAACTTGTCTTTGCTATACATCGATCGACTAAACCATCACTCATCGAGGCATCTTCGGCATGTACACACCCTTATATACTCTACACAAGATAGCGATAGGTATAAAATCTTATAGTAACAAACACCGTGACTTCAGGGTTTACTGCATTACTTTAGAATACAAAATAAAATAAGACCTTATAAAATTGTATGAAACTTATTACTCCTTAATCGGATTTGCCATTACTCATTCTATTTCGTTGATTATTATGTTCCCAGTATCATAATTAAATTAAATGTTGCCAAAAAAAAACTCAATTTAAAATAATTTGATCTAACTCGAATCACATGGGTGATATGAATAAAGCGGAGCACGTAAATTCTGAAGTAAATATATGAATAAAAATTAAAGGTAGTTGCTCATCATGAGTAGGTACTCTTATGTACAATTTGAAGTGAGTAAAAAACTCAATTTTCTTTTGAATACAAATTTGTGCTCAAAAGTTCGAGTTTCTACTCCATATAAGTGGACTCTTTCGAAGGAGACTCAGTTTAAGTTTGACAGCGAAGAAGTGATTGATGAGTTTATGAATCTGCGAGCAAAGAAATATTATAAACCAATAAGAACGACCTGCGACGATGACTGTAAAGTAGAGAGGTGACTTTTCATGAAAAGTAATATTTGGACATGTCCGGAAAAGTAGTGAAAAGTAATGAAGTCACAATGAAAAGTACTCGACCTTGAGCATAGAAGATACAGCTAAATCTCCATCCTGGATGTTTTTTTAAAAACACTCGGGGAACAATTATTGCATTTGTATTTTGGCTTTTTTGGTAATTTTTGCATGAGTATATTTTAATAAGATATGAAATGAAAATTTGAAAACATCGTTAAAACATTATAAAAGCCTGTAAACATTTTAAACAAAATTTTGCCTTTGATGTAAGAAATTCAGACAAATTAGTTAATTTAATTTCGCGCATGCGCAATACACGTTTCCACTTTTGAAAAGTGTGTTTGGACTAGTCAACTTTTCAAACAGTCCGTCGGACTTGTCCGTGGACTTTTCAAAGCGACCCATTACTACTGTAAAGTGTTATATATTTTTATAAAAGAAAGCATAGAATGAATGATTGACGATTTTTTTTTTATTATATTCAAAGGCTGGAAATTGGTTTTAAAACACTATTTTGCTAAATTGATTCAAATTAATGAGCCCTTGCCAGGCAATATGGCCGCTCGCAAACGACCCGCTATTGACAACAGGCCCACAGCGTTGTCATATCTAAAGTGTCAGTTCCCACTGGCAACATTTTGACAGGTCGCTGGAATATCTAATTCAAATGAATGGTTTACAAAATAGAGCCTCATAGCTCGGATTTGTTCATGCAGCCTAGCTAAAGCTGCGATACATTTTATTCATATAGATTGAAGAATAAACTCCTATCTTATATCATGGTCTTAATTAATTGCTTCCAAGTCGTCCATTAAAGGGATCGGAAAAACGCTAATCTTAAGCCCAACCTTTACGGTTCAAATTTTCAGGTAGTTTAAGCCAAATCTTGAATGTTTGAGAAACACTGCTCTAAAAGGACAAAGTATTTATATGTATTATAATCTTAAACTTATTTTATCGCCAACCGTCAATAAAGCCATGAATTACCATAGCGATTTGCGGAAGTAAACAAACACTTTATCTCACGGTAAAAATGAAATATTTTATCTGTCACTAATATTTATCAACATAGCCA